GCAATTTTGTTATTCATGATTTAATTCAAGTCCCCGTTAAAAAATTTTAACATTTTTTTGAAATTGAACTTACTAAGTATGGATTCACTCTTTTAATATAATTCTACTAAAATTAATCTTAGGAGATAATATAATCACTATTCTTTAGTAAATAAATTATTATTAACTTACTTTGCAGCAATTGCACAAGTAGTAGAATAACTCGATTTCGCACTAAGTGAATTTAAGATCTTACAACATTATATATACAGTTAAAAGTCTTTAATCCGGACTCGTCGGGACTTCGGCGATTCCGGATTATAGATCATCAGTTTAAATCTGGTAAGATGGCATGCAAAAATTATAAAATTAAAAATATGAAACCGTAATTTATGAAATAAAGAGCAATTATGATCTAAAGGGTATAAAAATTTACGAAAAAAAGCTGAATATTTATTTGTTTATTTTATTAAACATTTCTTTCAATGTGTGCATGCGTAAACCATATATTACGCATAGTCGAAATTAGAAAATTGCAACTAGAAAACTATTTGATTTGTATTCGTGATATTTATAATGACAAGGAATTTGATTTAAATCATATCAAAGACGGAGTGCATCGAGATGAAATACTGCATTTAGTAAGGAATTTAAGCCGAATAAAATAAAAACATCTGCCCTGAAGATAAAGATAGTGCTGACAGATCAACTTCCAGTTCATTGCGTGCCGCGACGTTGTCCACCACCCCTCGCGCAGAACAGCGTGAAATTGATAAACAGATTTCGGAATGATTAGAGAAACAAAAGAGCCTTTATCCATTTTTTGCAGCAATTCCACTTTTTGTTTGATGGACATCGAAGCAAGCTTTCCTTTTGCAGCTCCAGTATCGGAAATTCTATTTGACATAATCGAAAGTTCCAACTTACTTTTATAAAATTGCTCTAACAGTCTGCAAAAAATAATAAGCCGGATCCAATTCAAAGATTAAGGAACAACGCAGTCTGCAACATTAACTGAAATAGATAATTAGATAATTTTAGCGTAGCTTATACCGTCTGTTATACATTAAACGCGCATGCGTAAACGTATTACGCGCATGCGTCAACGCAATCAAGATTATAGATCATTCCGGATTAACGAATTTTGACTGTATATATATATATATATATATATGTACATACATATATATGTGTGTGTATGCACATACACGCACATACATACATACATACACATGTACATATCAATATATATTTCTTAATTCAGTCTAAATAAAAGAAGTGTACCAAAAAAAATCATACTTTAGCAATTTAAAATGCAAATCTGAATTATTATAAAAGGGTTACGTGATACATTGAAAAAATAGAACATATGCATTTTTCTTCAAATCTTTCTATAATTCTTTTGCACTACTCTACTTCTAAAGCAAACGACGATCTGTATTTGCTTAAAAATATTCTGTGAATTACGAAGACTCAGTTTCATGCAACTCTCGACAACAGCAGCTACCTTGACGTTCAGAGGCCATAAGCACTGGTGATTTTTTTTAAAAAAAAAAGATTCTGGTGCCCTCACATAAGTTTATGCCAATTTTCTCTTTATTCCTTCTCTCTCTCAGTTTTGGTTTACTTGTGCCATGCATTCTAGTGCTAAACCAGCAGTATGAAATTTTTTGTTGCCCCCTTTGCTAAATTTTTCCTTTGGTACTTCCTTATTTTAGCTGCTCCCCCCAAGATTGAATCACTAGTCAACCGAGACATTTCAAAGAAATCTTGCCACATATAATAGCTTGGTTGATTTAGCAAATAAATTTGGGAAGCCAATATGATAAGAAAGTACCAGATCATATTTGTAATATCCCTTTTCTTTTATGCCCTAAGCATGTATTTTTATTTTATTAATGATTAACCCAAGCCTGCCCTTTTAATATTAATTTGGAATTTATATGGTTGATTTCAAAATTATATAGCACATGACATGAATTTATTTGCAAAAACTTTTTAGATATTGTGTTTGACCTTAAATACACTAGATAGTTGTTTAGATTGCATTCCATATAACAATCAAGAGTGCTTACATCAACAGCACATAAAAACAGATTCTTGAAAATAGCACTTATAATGATTTTTCTGGCATAAAAATTAGAAACATGATGAAAAAACACGGGCTAAGAGATTAAAAAAAAAAAAATCTAATAAATCCAAAATGTTAATTTTAGCACTCTTTGTAGCACATACATGGAATGTAATGGCAGAATTCTTGTAGAAATTTAGGAAAATCAAGACAATTGAGGATTCTGCAAACAATATATTAATTGGTTAACCTATATTTAAGGGTGCCCCTTGGATTATCACCAAGCTGTTGTTTCATTTACGATAACCCTGAGTAGCTGAATGTTATGGAAACCCTATTATTACGTAATTGTTTGCATGATTGCGGTGAATTTGACTGATGGGAAGATTTGTAAGGGTTTGTTTGTGTGTTGTATGTTGTATGTGAAAGATTTATAAGGGTTTGTTTGTGTGTTAGGAAGTGCATTGCTTATTTTATGGTTTACATGGTAAAATGGCTGAATGTGAAAAGATTAATTTGAAGTTTCTGTATGATTTGGAATAAAAGGGAAAAAAGCATTAATTGACTGGTGTGTAAATTTAGGTTTACTTAGTAGCCATTATAAGTGTCCTGCTTGTGCGAAGGAAATGCATATAATCAAATGTAAAGTTCATTCAGATGGCTTTGAATGGGTTTGTTTCAAGAAAGGTTCATGCAAGAAATGTCACGGACAGTTCGGCACTATGGAGGATATTTTTTACTCTTATTTTTGTGAATTTATGTGGCGACACCAGTATACAGATTCTAGTTCTGATAATTTGAGGAAGTTTTTGGATGCTGTAGGAGGAAGTTTTTGAGGATGTTATGATAATTTGAGGACGTTCTGATAATTTGAGGAAGTTTTTGGAAGGAATTTTGAGATAATATATTTTTTGTTTGGCTCTAGTGTAGAAGTGGCTGCTCCTTAGACTTTTGAAGTGAAAATAGATCGATGTGTACATAGACAAAGTCAAGGAAGTGCACAATGTTGAGTTTGTGCAATTCTCTGATGTTTATTTAAGTGAAAATAGGTCGATATGTACATGGATATCAAGTTTGCGCAGTTCTTTGACTTGTTATTTTGTCTTTGTGTAATGGTGATTTTTGCGCCAAACATTGCTGCTACATAAAAACAAAATAAAAAGTCAGAGAATTGCACAAACTCAGTATCCATGTGCCACCAAAAATCACCAAAGGCACCCACAAATATATTTTTACCTATTTATTTACTTTTCTAAGTTTAAAAATTACTTTGAAAGTAATTTCATTGACAAACCTACAATTTGCGACACAGAATTTTTTAACGAATTTCTGTTTTTTTCAAAAAATATCCCTATTTTATTTCTCCACTAAATTTTTCCCTTGGACTAATATTATTTTCTTTGTATTTAATTGTATTAAAAAATTAAATTTAATTAACCTTGATCAAATAATTCTTAATGTGTTTTAGTTATTTATCTATGTACAGACAACCCAAATTTAATGCAGAAATTTGAAAGGGAAAAGTGCAAAATGAGAAAAAACAAAAGCACATAACTCTTGATCCTGAGGTGTATAAATTATTGGAATACATTACATCATAGTAACCTAACTACAGTGTGGCGCAGGATTTTAGATCCTTCATTTAAACAGCATTTATTATTTGAGGCTGTATAATTACTTATTTCAGTCTGTATTTTTATAAACTTACATTCATTAAGATGTATGTGTGTGATTATGGCAAAGCCTCGAGGGCTATCTGCCTAAGGGAAGGGATGCCGTCGTGGAGGACTTTCTGAGGGAAACTGGCTCGTATACATGTAGCACATAGGCAGCCAGCCTATTTGCGGAATTCAAATCTCGGACCAAACTACCAGTGTTCAGCGACTTTACCGCTGGTGGACCCATATTCATTAAGATTACATTTACATTATTAAAGAAGTAAGAAAGCAAAATAGCTTAAATTATAAGCTAACATATGCCAAGTAGCAAAACTTCTGATGACCATTATAAAGCCGATCCTGATGCTCAGAGGGTTAATACATTTTATACATATATTACAAGTGAACTGTTTATTTTAGAAAAATAGGAAAGTTAGTTAATTCCAATCCTTTCACTAAACCTTGGATATTTTGTAACAATGTTTTGTTTGCACATTTTTAAATCCAAATTCTATCATATTACAGATAAATTACTATTACCATCCCACTCCCAAATCAGAATTTCTAACACCTGCATTAGTAGCAAAATTTTATGAAGTTCCAAGCCGATATTCCGTCAAATACATTCAGTGGTATAGGTAGGATGGGGCAAGGGGGCATCTGTCCCCGGGCACAGCATCCAGGGAAGCCAACCTGATGTTACAAAATTTTGGAATGAAACATTTTTTCATTCTTGGCACACTGAAAGGGGTGCAACATCTTCAGTTTTTCCCAGGTGCTGAAAACCCTAGCTGCAACTCTGACTACATAATGAGTAAGTATGTAAATCTGCAGAAAGTGCAGAATTACCCACTGCTTGGCGCATTTTTAAGAATTGCACATACTCAGTATCCGTACACATCGGCCAATTTTCACTTAAAAAAAAAAATCCCAGAATTGCACAAAAATGGCATTGAGCACGCCCTTACTTTATCCATGTACACATCGACCTATTTTCACTTAAAAAGTCAAATAAAATTGACAAAAATCCAATTCTTCTTACTCTTGTAAAAGATGCCAAGCAAATAAGTGGGCGATTCTGCACTTTAGCCGTAAATCTTTATAAACATGGAAGAAATTAAAGTTTACAAATGTTTCAAAAACATATTAAAAGCTATAATTATTTTTAATAAATAAAATACACAATAGATACAAATGAGGGGAAAAAAAGAGTTTTCCTGTGGCTTACCATTAAGTTAATAGTGGCATATTTTTGCAAAGTATACACTATCTAGTGCAATAAAAAATGTACATATGAAATAATATAATTTTTATTTTCTATAAATAACGTTTTCACTAAGAAAGGAACAATTGGAAAAGTAAGTCCAAAATACCACTTAGTAGTTGGAAAAGTAAGTCCAAAATACTTTCTTTAAAACTCTTAAACCTGGGAACCAAAATTTCAGAATAGCCATACAAACCTTATAACCTTATCAGCTATATAATGTATCTACTACATTCACATGAATAGCTTACACATATCAATACGTGAATACAGCTCAGTGTTAATGCACTCATGCACAACTAATTATTCTTTAACATTACAAGTGTTTAACATATATCAGACACACGATGATGTTCCCATATGTATATACATATGTGTTACTAAATTTCCTTCTCGCACGAATGACTTACTACATATATTACATACATGAAGTTTCTGCCCTTTGTGGGTATGCAGATGAGTTATTAAATTTTGTTTCTGTGTAAATGACCTCTTACATGTATTACACACATAAGGTTTCTCTCCTGTGTGGATTCGCATATGACGCAGTAAATTTGACATAACAGAAAATGACTTATTACATCTAGCACATATATGAGGTTTCTCTCCTGTGTGGATTCGCATATGCATCATTAATGTTTGTTTATATGTGAATGACTTGCCACATAAATTGCACATATGCGGCTTGTCTCCTACGAGCACATGTATACCATAATTCTGGGTAAATATCTGTTTACGTCTACTGCGTTTCTCAGCAGTGTGGGTATGCATATGCCTGACTAAATTAGAGTGTACAGCAAATGACTTGTTACACATCTCGCATACATGCGGTTTTTCTCCTGTGTGGATACGCAGATGTGATACTAAATTTTGCTTTCGCATGAATGATTTGTTACATACTTCACAGATATGAGGTTTTTCTCCTGTATGGATATGCATATGACTTTTTAAATTAGACTTTAAAGAAAACGCTCTGTCACATTTATCACATGCATGAGGTCTCTCCCCTGTATGGATGCGTGTATGCATCACTAAATTCTGCCTTTGCGTGAATGACTTGTTACATACCTCACAAACATGACGCTTCTGTCCAGCATGGATACGCATATGATCTATTAGATGTTGCTTTCTTGTAAATGACTGTTTACATACATTGCATATAGGAGATTTCTCCCTTGTATGAAGACACATATTACTGACTAAATTAGAGTTTACAGAATATGAACTGTTACATTTATCATACACAACACGTTTCTCTGCTGAGTGAATAACTAAATGCATCTCTAAGTTCTGCTTTTCCGTAAATGACTTATTACATGTATCACATATATAAGATTTCTCTCGAGCGTGTACACGCTTATGTGTATCTAAATTCTGCTTTCGTGTGAATGACTTGCTGCATACATCACATGAATAAGATTTCTCCATTGCGTGAATATATAAGTACCGCTAAATTTTGTTCCTGTATAAATGGCTTGTAATACATATCACATACATAAGGCTTCTGTCTGGATTTAATACAAAAATATCCTAGAGGAAAAATTTTCATATAAATCACATAATATGATTGAGTAGTATTTATTTACTTTTGAAGCATATATGATACATATAAAGTTTCTGTCCTGGATGTACAAACATATTTCGCTAAATCGTACATTTGTACACAGAATTTATACAATCGTGGCATGTACACGTGCCTTTTTTTTATTTTTTTCCCCGGGATGAGAACACTTAACCAGAGCATGCAGATAAGTAAAGAATACTATAGCACTGCAACACACACCTTTCTGCCCGCAGAATAATAGCATTATAGCTGAACTTTTTCCTACTAACTACCTTCAGGTTTTTACCTGAATCTCTGAATGGCTAGTGCCAACACCGAGTCGGTGTTGCTACTGCCCACCATAAAACCTTTCACATTTTATATTATGCCGAAAGGTGCGTTTTTTTTTTCAACATTTACTGTGTTACCTTAATTTATTAAATATCATGTTCTTTGCACTTAAACCACATAAAAATTCAGTTCAATATTGCAAAATATCTAAAAACAGCATAGCTTTAGAATTTCCGATAGACGACTCAGGCGAACGCAGTTCGCAATAAACGGGCCCCCGCGTGGATGCGCTATCCCTGAATAACATGTGATGGCGATTTTCGAGCTTCTGATTTACCATAGCATTGGTAGTTCCTAAAAAGAGAGAACAATGTATGATAAAAGAAACAAAAAAAGTAGCATGGGTAGGGATAAATAACATGCCCAGACAGTAATGCATAACTGAAAAAGTTTTCTGGAAATAAGTCGCCGAGGAAAAGTTATCCGCCAGCCAGTAGCTGTGGTACTCCGGTAAGGACGAATAGAGAACGAGGTGGGCGGAGCACGGGAGAGTTCTCAGGTGGTCACCCACCCAAGTCCTGTCCCTGCTGCCTGCTGCTTACCTGCTGCTTACTTTACGGCGCCAACGCCGCAAAAAGGCTAAGGCCTCATGATCCTGGAGAAAAAAGGAGTTGTACGGTGAAAAATTAGTCGCTTGCAAGTTGAAAGATGTTCATCAGAATTAGTAGCTTTTCGGGGTTGCTAGGGGCTGCTTGAAGGTGTTGATGATTTTCTTTGAAAGCTGCAACAAACTTTCTAATGCAGTCATATCACTGAAAAATTTCTTGGATCTGTTTGAAAATGTTCATAAGGTCCAATATAGATTTAAAATCACCTTCTTTCGCAGAGTAACCGATGTCTTGAATCTGTTGAGGCTGGGTATCATCAGTTTCTTTAGGAGTTTAGAGGCACAGGGGGGAATTTTGTGATTTAGCCGCGTCAGCATAACTCACGCCTGGTCTTGTCTGTGAAGGATGAGGATTTTTCGTAAATTTCCGGAAAATACTCACAACCACGATAGGAACTAACGTGGTTTTTTTGAGCAGTTACTGCAGGTAGGGTTCGTCAGTCTTTTTAAGATCACACTCCGCAGAGATGTGGTTTTTGGCACATTTCACACATTTGGGAGGGAGTTTGCAGCTATCAGATGAATGTCCAATTTTTTGGTAGCAGTTGTAACATTGATACACAGGAGTATCTTGGTTTATACTTCTCGAACCTGCACGGCAAAATCGAAGGAGTCGCTGGATATCGTAGAACTTCATCAATATTCAGAGTATGAAGCAGTTGTACTAGGAAAATAGGCAGGGGGGCTTTCGGTACGGAAAATTTCTGAGCCGTGCAATTTTATGCACTTGAAAGTTCAAATCCGTCAGAGCTTGCTTAATTTTATCAGCATCAGTATTAACGGGCAGTCCTTTTATCACAATTTTTCTGGGTCTGTCATTTTTGTGTTTCACCAGGAAGAATCCAATGGAACGTTGATTTAAAAATTTTGCAATGTAATCTTGCAAAGTTTCAGGAATAACACGGAGACAGTCGTGATGGAATTTGCCTATGAACTTGGCTTCAGTATTTTCACTGATGTCCGTGAGAATTTGATGGTGCTCATCCGTAGTATTTATCATAACGTGAGGGACGTTGCACAGGCTATTAGTGAGAATAGGAGTTTTCAGTATTATCAGCAGCGTTCGTATCCATGTTTTCTTCACTCGCTAGGGCATTAAATTGGTTGCTTAACTCCGGCTGCGGGACAGGTTCAGGGCTCTTGAGACGTGCGATCTTCTTCGGCGTAGTGAACTTGTTTTCCTTAACAGCGTCCGTAGACTCGCAGGGTTCTTCAATGCTAGGGAGGGGGAGAACAGGAAACGGTGTTTTACGTTTTCGAAAAAGACACGCTTCTGGGTGGTCTATACTTATTGAGGTAATATCGTTCTTGAATTTGTTGCGAATGTTAATAGTTTCCGCAAGGCCGAGTTCCACGAATTTCAAGTGGTGTGGACTGAGTGACTTGATCAGGGGAATTGCAGCGTTCAGGTGGTCACGTGCTTCTTCAATAAGCGGAATAGCTTGTACGGCGGCTTCATAATCCATTTGTATCTCCGGATATTGGAACGTACGACAGAGTGGGAGCAATAGCTCGCTTCCATATTGAGTACCATTTGGAGAGTGTAAGCTTGGGAGGGAAAGTGATTATTCCATTTTCAGAAATTTGCAGTCTGGATTCCGGTCGTTTCACCTTTTCTAGAAAAAATTGAATAACTTGCTTCACCGCATGATTGCTTTGTGGGTCAGTTATCAGTTTGTATAGATGAGATCTGCTAAGTTCAGCTTGTATCCGTGCTGTTTTAACTGCCTCGGTAGTTTCTTGATACTTTTGCCGTAATGTGAGTAATAGTTGTAGTTTCCACCAGGAACAGGTACATCAGAAATTCCGTTGGCTTCAGCAGTTTGGATGATTTCCCTAAGCTCATCCAGTTGACAATTACGGGTATCGTAGATCGTGCGAAAGTAGGCAATATCGCTCTTTCCTGACAAGAGTAGATTGTAGGGATTCCTCAGCACAGGAGGAAATATGTATATTATTTTCATTTTATTTTGCTTCCTTACAGTGTTGCCATCAAAGAATCTGTATCTTTGGTTGCCATTGCTCTCTTGAAAATCCTTGAATTATTAGTTAATCAAAAATTCTTAAGAGTTTCATAGCACACTGAAAACAAACAATGCCAAATGTACTTGCTGTGCACTGTATTATTTAGTGTCAACATTTGGTTGCAAAAAAATCATAATGAACGCCGGCATACGCTGCTGAAATACATTATTAAAGCAGTCAATAAACTTAGAAGAAGTTCATACAGTGACAGATTATCTGGCCAAACTTTTAGCAAAAATAAAGATTACAACCGCTTGCTGTTGCACTCATAAGTCCTTTGTCTCTCAAAAGGTATTGTCTGAATTAATTTTACAATCTATTTGATTCAGTACTATACTTCTTTGAAACCAGAGACAAAAAACTGCGCAAAAACTTGATTCCACTCAAAAATGTCATCGCTTAATTGACAGCCTTATTTCAAATATTTTATTCAGTTAGTCAGAAAAAGGTAATAAGTTGAATTTATTGATTAAAACAATAGTCGTCATAGTTGTTTTTGGTGGCAAAACTTCTTCTAGTCAAACGAAATTTAGGTAGAGGTGAATTCCATCGATCTCTACTGATAAACCATATTAAACTTTAACAGAACCCTTTTCTGTGATCGCTATTTATTATCCGTTTATTAGCGTTTTGTTATACGGATTTCTATTTTTCCTATTTCAAAAAACACGTTTTGAAATATTTTCTAAAATACGAGAATTTAAAAAACATTTCGGATATTCTTCGGGCTAAAAGACTAATGCTACATAAACAATAGTTGCCAATAGGTGTAAAATTCGACCGTCTGCTCTGTTCCAGAGGTATTTCTTTCATGAAGAAATTTCTTTTGTCTCACAAAAGTGATGGGACACTTATGCTTTACAAAAGGAAACTGTAGTAAAATAAACTAAAAAAAACATGTAAAATTTTTTTGTGGGTGTGTTTCATACTTTAATTTAGTAACAATTATTACATAACATACATATTCTCAAAATATTAAAATATTAATTTAATAAAAATACAATTGTTTAGAACGGAGCAAAAAATGGCTTACATAAGTGATGGGACACTTACTTTTCCATCAAATATTTATCCCAAAATTTTACTTTTTAAAAGGTTTTAATATTTTGTTGGATTTCTTTTTACTTTTGAAACATGATTTAATCTTCTTGGGATGGATTCGACTAATTTTTTTGTGATTTCTGGAGTGATTTCTTCTTCTTCTTGAAGCACTGATTTTAATTGTTGTTTTGAAGAAATGGTGTGTTTGCGAATTCTTGATTCCAATTCTTTGCCAAATATTTTCTATGGGATGATTTAAGTCTTGGAGATTGTGGTGGTGTTTTTATTATTCCAGGACAGTTATACAGCAGCCAGACTCTAACGTTCAAAGCAGTGTGCTTGGAGTCAATTGCCCTGGTAGAATTTAAAATCGTTACGATGGTTCAATTTTCGTGCCGAAGATTTCAAATTTTGATTTAAAATGTTAACATACTTGTGCCTGATCCATTATACTGTCAATAAAAACAAGATTACCAACACCAGCGGACGACATACACCCCCATACTTCTCCTCCACCATGTTTTACTGTTGCACCAAGTTCTGCTTGCGAAGTTCTTCCCTGGGTTTTTTCCACACCAAGATTCTACCGTCAGAACCAAATATATTAACTTTACTCTCATCAGTAAATATACTTCATTCCAGTAATCAGAATTCTTATTTATGTTGGATTTGCGAAAGCCAGTCTGAGTTTTCTATTCTTTTCACTTACGAAGAATTTTTTCCTGGCTGGTCTACCGTGATATCCAGCAGATCGAATTACTCTTCTAATTAGTCTCAGGATTAACAATTACTCCATATAATGCTTGTAAATCAGCAGAAACTTTAGGAGCACTCATTCTTGGATTTTTTTTAATATTTGAAACGATAATTCGCTTTATTCCATTGGATAGCTTTGATGGTCGGCCAGGTCTTCTTTTATCCTAAATCATATGATTCTTTTTATATCGTTTAATGATACTGAAAACTGTTGAATGACTCAAGTTAACTGTTTCAGCAGTTTCTCTAATAGATTTTCCATGCTCAATATGCAAATTAATAAGTAATTTTCGAATTTCAGGCAAAGTTTCTTTTCGTTAAGCATTCACGGCTGCACAGAGCTAAAAAAACACAAAAATTCCAAAACAAACTGGAGAGAAATACTGCAGATGATTTTATAAATTATTGCCAATTGCTTTTGAGTAAAAATAAAACAAAAAAAAAAAAAAAATTTTTATTGCTTACTTCAGACGATTTTTGTTGCATAGTACTTAGTAGTATCTAATGGTGTC